CCACCACAAATTACAAATTATTGAACTTATAAACATGGTATAAGCCTCATAACAAGACAAAAGGTTCAAGAAGGTACTAAGCATAAAGCAAATGTTTTGTTCTTGCCTAGCTCCTCACCCGCCTAGGTGTTGTCAACGTAAATAGCTCTTTAACCTATAGTCACAAATTACAGCTCCAAATTGATGGAAGGAATGAAGGACGGATCTGTGTTAGTTTGAGATTGTGTCATTTTATGGAAAACAACTGTCTTTTTTCTGACATTTGTCTACTAGTTATGCTTAAACGTACCTTCAATTGTCTAAGCATACCTCACAATTGATCGAAATTGAGAGGAATTTTGGTTATCTTAAGGGATTCATTTTTGGTAAAACTATATGTTAGAGTTTCGATGGTTTGAGATTACAAATTGGGTGGGTCATGGTCCACCACTGTCCACCCCCACCCACCCAATATTTTGTGAATTATCTATATATTTTACAACCCCCACCCCACCTATAGAAACCACTACATAATAATGGGTGGATCAATTGTGAGTAGATTTGGATGGACTTGTGGGTTCAACCATTCAATACTCACCCCTACTGGCTGCGTGTTCTTAATTATGATCATTTGGCCATTCCCGTAGTTTAGTACAAGTTCAGCCCGCCACGTCCTTTTGTCATAAAGTGTAGCGTGTATAATGTATATAGCGAAATTTTTCTTTTCTTTTCCTGCTGCTGACTTTTCTCACCTATTAGTATCCAGGAGGGTGTAGGCCAAACCGAGGTCCAATAAGACAGCCATATCACAAATGAGTGATATATATATGCACAATATACACATGTTGCGTGTTCAATTTTGATGAAACCATGCATGTTGAATGTTATCCACTAGGGGATTAGAGAGTAGTTAGACAGGTTTACGGTAGAGCGCATGCATGCAGTCGTTTAAGACTTTTAGCTTCTTTTTTTTTTTCCGGCAGAAATTAAGACTTTTAGCTAGTGAAAACGATTTAACAAATATTTGCTAGACGAAATATAACATGGTCAGCTAGAAACTACCATCATTTCCCAATTCTAACAACTTTTTCAGACTAATAATTTTGACAGCTAACCCAATGTGATTATGATGTGACAAAAAGGGAAACAATAATGGACACAATTCGAGTTAGTGGGACCAACTGGTTTACGAGAAACCAGCTAACTTGGGGACGGATTCAGATTGTAAAATTTGAGAGGAAAATTAACGAATTTCTGATAGTAGTTTTAAAATGGAGAGAAGAATAAAAGAACTCAACTCAAAACAATTCAAACTTATGACACTGTTGTTATTAGCAAAAATATTTTTCATTTTACTACACTTCATTTGTTGTTGTAATTTTAACCGTCATCTTCGATTTTTTCAAAATATAAATTAAATCCCCGGGCTACTCCTTATCCTCCGTGTTATTCTGACATACAATTTTATCCTAAGGAATCTGATCACTTTTCTCATTCCTTTTCTTCTACGTACGAGATCTTGAAAATTATTATTATTGTATCAAGAATGATGAGTTATTCTATGTGAATTAAAATATTTTATTTTTTGATAAGAGAATTAAAGGTTATAGTGGAACTGTTATGAGTTTGGATGCTGCATGCTCACTCTTAAACAGATTAAGGATGAAGTGTTAATACCTTGTACTGATGAGGAAATTGCTGTGTTCATATGATTTAATTTTGATTAGTCTTTTTGGGTCCTGTTCTTGACAGATTACAAATAGAATTAGTAGTATGTAGAGAATAGATTTATCTCTTGTTCTCTTCTCTTCTTAGTGGCAAAGGATGTTGCCACAAATTACATTGATTTTTTTATGATAAATAGAATACCGCCCATTCATAAAAAAAATCTTTAGAAAACACCTGTATAAAATTTGTAGGTAGCTAACTGCGTATTCAAACAATTTGGTCCGATGTGGGAAAATGCCTTGGTCCGAGAAAAAAGAGAGAAAATGATTATGCCCGGCTGCGGAACCTCCCTCCTTCATTATTAAACAGTGTGCTCGCCAGCCCATCCGAATCAATAATGTAGGATCAGATTAGATGCCTCTCATATTTCCCCATTTTCCACCTCTCTTCCCTTCTGGAAACCCTTTTTTTATTTAACTTTTTTCTCTTTACAAATTCTATTCATAACCTTACATTTCCCCTTCTTATATAAACCCTCACCACCCCCACTCACTCTTCACACACTTCACTTCACTTTACTACACAACCATGGCCGCCCCACCATCTTACACCTTCCTCCTCGCCCCTCTCCTCCTCCTCTTCCTCCTCACCTCCGCCGCCGCCAGCCGGCCAGCTTCCAACACGTTATCCGGCCGCCGCCACGCCGTCATCGCCTCATCTTGTAGCAACGCAAGGCACCCGGACCTATGCTACTCCTCCCTCGCCGCCGCCCCCGTGGCCGCCGCCCAACTGGCCACCCAGAAGGACGTCATCAAGGCCTCCCTCAACGTCACCTGCGCCGCCGTCCAGCGCAACATGGCCGCCATCAGGAAGCTCATCGCCACCAGGAAAGACCTCACCCCACGCGCCAGGTCAGTCCAATACGATCATATTATTCAAACCACTAGTGCGTTATGAAATGTTTTTTATGCTTTTTGGTTCTTGAGCTGTGTTGTGCTCTTTTTTGAAACGGTCCCTTTTAATATATTTTTTAATCGAAAATCTGTCATTCGTGGGGCCCACAACAAGTAACAACGACAACAAGAATAATTTTACGTTTCCATGTTACTTATTCTGTGCTATCCGTTAATTATGCTTGTGATTTAAAAGACTCTTGAATCGAAAGTAGTAATTATCGTATTTTTGTTTTTCTAATGGTATATTTATTTATTTATTTTACTGTCTGGGTTCCGTTACAAAACTCCTTTTATACAAAATTCTAGTTGTATCGTTGTATCACGACTTGCGTTTTGTACTAATGAGTATCCGAATATGGTCACAGGGCAGCGATGCAGGACTGCCTAGTGACGATGGACGAGTCCCTCGACGAGCTCCACGTGGCACTCGCCGACCTCGACGACTACCCGAATCAGAAGTCCCTCTACAAACACGCCGACGACCTGAAAACCCTACTGAGCGCCGCCATGACGAACCAAGAATCCTGCCTCGACGGCTTCTCTCACGACGACCACGAGAAGGAGATCCGGAAGTCCCTCGAAACGGGTCCTGTCCGGGTCGAGAAGATGTGCGGCAACGCGCTCGGCATGGTGGTCAACATGACGGAGACCGACATTGCGGCTAACGGCGTTAGCCGGGAGGAAGAGGAGAAGAGTAGTAACGGGGCGTGGCCGGAGTGGATGAAGGCAGGGGACAGGAGGCTGCTGCAGGCGTCGACGGTGACGGCCGACGTGGTGGTTGCGGCGGACGGGAGCGGGAAGTACAGGAAGGTGTCGGAGGCGGTGGCGGCGGCGCCGAAAAAGAGTACGAAGAGGTACGTGATAAGGATAAAGGCCGGGGTGTATAGGGAGACGTTTGAGGTTCCCAAGGACAAGACGAATATTATGTTCGTGGGAGATGGGAGAACGACGACAATTATTACTGGGAGTAAGAATGTCGTTGACGGGTCAACTACGTTCAACTCTGCTACCGTTGGTAAGTTTCGTTATCGAATAATTTTTTGGCCTGATTATATTATATATATATATATGCTTGTGATTATCGTATTATGGATTTATGCTCGCCAGTCGCCACGTTCAACCTGGTAACGACGACCCATGTTTAATTAATTAAATATATATATATATATATGCGCATTGATAGATGTTAGAGAAAAATTAAGTAAGTTAATACGGATCTCGTATCTTTCAAAAACATATTATACCATATATATCAAGAAATAAACTAGTATAATAATACCTGGATACCTGACAAATCATGCCTTGTAGGATAAATGTACTACTTCACAGTTCACCCGCATTTTTTATTTTACCATCAATTTCAGCAGGTTTTTTAGTAGCTCTTTGGTAATTAATAATTTATGCCAAATCTTTTTAAGTTTACCCTTTACAACTTTAATTTGTTTTCAGAGTGCAAGAAAAAACATCACAATAATTTGCAAATTTGAGAGATAAAAGTTAAATACTTTAAAAATAAGTATATAAATCCCACTCGAAACAAATGTTTGCGAGCATTACAAGTACTGTTATGATGTGGCAACATTTTTTAACATGGTGTTGTATGATATGTGCTCGTGACTGGAGATTTAAGATCTTAGTTATAATTAAACACCATAATATAGAAAGAAAAATAGCAAAAAATTAAAAAAAAAAGTATGTAAATATATGTACACATTAAACATGGACCTACATTCATGATCCACATCATCGTTGTTGATTAGTCTCGTAGAATACCAAACGAGGAAGCCCCGCCTACGTTGGATGACAACATCGTAACTGGTCGTATGAATTTTGAACAATGTGGTGACCAGCTAGCTAGATAGCTGGTTGTTGTATGGAATGATCATGTGGTGGCACATGGGAGAGTTGCATATATGGCCAATCCGCCATTTTGTCCCTTTGCACGCGCGCACCGCACTTGCCATCTTTCCAACATCTCCCATATCAAGAAAGAAGCGCATTATGCGTCTTTTTCTGCCATCTTTCCCTTTTTCGTTGGTTAGTTAATAACTTAATATTCTCCCGTCAACTTGCAACATAAAGAGAACATACACACACAGTCACCCAAAACCATAAAATATTATCTAGGAATGGCAAAAATATCCGTAATCGTGGATATCCGCCCGCCGACTTAATCAGGTAGGGTAAAGCTCAAATCGGAAGGACATTTAGTGGGTACGGGTAAAACCCGAATCCGAATATTGTGGGTAATGGGTGGGCATGGGTTTCTCACTATCCAACCCGAACCCGTCCGATTATACACATGCATATGTATTTTATCAAGATATAATCATTATTTTCCTCTAAGATATTTTATATTTAGCATATAAAAATAAAACTTTCATGAAATGGTGTTATTTTAATTGATTTTCTTCATTCTAGTGAATTATTGTCGTATTTTTCATCTTACGTAAAGTGAGAATACATGTGAATGTTAACGTATTGGTTGGAGTTATGATGAGAAATTATTACCCATGGATACCCATGGATACCCGAAAACCGATCGGGTATGGGCATGGTTATGATTTTCTACCTGTTTCACATGTGGGTATGGGTATGGATAAAACCCAAACTACTTTGGGTAGGGTAATGGATATGCACTATCCGCCCCCGACCCGACCCATTGTCATCCCTAATATTCTCCCTTCAACTAGCAACATAAAGAACACATGGAGAGAGAGAGAGAGAGAGTCGCACGAAAAACTGCACCGTATTGGTCGTCCGGTCGAAAAAAAATTTACTGCCAAAATTTAATCTGATAGGTAGTATATAACACTATGAAATGCCCGTAAAAAAAACAATATGAAATGATCGAATCACGATTTTAGTAAAAAACTTCAACTGTTGAATTTTTTATACAACCTTCTGTATTATTTTACAATTTTTACCCAAAATCATGAGTTTGTTGTTAGGGTAGGACGTAGAGCATGTGCATATTTATTTTATGAAGAAAAATACAACTTATGCTTTGCATCATTTGAATTTCCACCTTTTGCTTTACTACCTTTTTGAGAACGTTATTATGATATGGCTATTAAGCTTTGAGAGGCAACTATCATATATCCAATCTGAGAAAGCAACAAATAATATTACTTTTTCCTACGTCTTTGCTTTAACCCTCTCCTTTGTCTTTTGGCTGCTTGACTATATATCCTGTTATAGCAATGCATAATAATTCTCCACTTGGTCATCATGATTCCCTTAATCAAAGGCATCATTACGCTCTACCTATTAATTAAAAAGCTACAAAAATCAAAGGCATGATTTGAGGGTCTCTTTACTTATCCTTTTTTTCATTAAAAATAAACATATAGGAGAAGTCTAAGATGCCACTCTGGCACCAACATTGGAGGCCATTACTTACAAGTTGTAATTGTCCCCTTTGATAGTACTAGCTAGTATTATAAGTAATCCCTACATATGAATATATGACATATCAAAATATGGTAAAGGTTGATTGATAGCTAACTACCTATGTATGTTCACTTTTTGGATTTTGAGAATACATAATTCTTCATAATTTTCTTAATCCAAATAGGCGAATACTAATGTGAAAGTTTATGTATTGCCGCTCTCATTAATTTCTTTCATGCGTTTATCCCATGCCATTTGGTGCAATTACAGGAAATTATTAGTAATTGCATGAGATTCATTATTAGATCTCTCCTTATAAATTGAATTGTTGGACCAAGGATTCTTCCTGACAGAAATTTTCTATACATTAATTCTGAAGATTTTAAAAATAATTATATTCTACATAATAAGATGAAACATAATGATGGATTGATGTTTTGGGAACTCAATAAGAATTTGTTTACTCTTGTTTGGTGGAACAGCGGTGGTGGGCCAGGGATTTCTAGCGAGAGACATAACCTTTCAAAACACAGCGGGGCCATCAAAGCACCAAGCCGTGGCGCTCCGAGTTGGTGCTGACCTGGCAGCATTCTACCGTTGCGACTTCCTAGCCTACCAGGACACATTGTACGTCCACTCCAACCGCCAGTTCTTCCACAGCTGCATCGTCGTTGGCACCGTCGACTTCATCTTCGGCAACTCCGCCGCTGTCTTCCAGAACTGCGACATCCACGCCCGCCGACCCAACTCGGGCCAGAAGAACATGTTGACTGCCCACGGCCGGACCGACCCTAACCAGAACACCGGGATCGTGATCCAGAAATGTCGAATCGGCGGCACGTCGGATCTCCAGGCCGTGAAGGGCAGCTTCGGCACTTACTTGGGGAGGCCGTGGAAGCAGTATGCGAGGACGGTGATCATGCAGTCCACCATAAGCGATGTCGTCCACCCCACGGGATGGCACGAGTGGGATGGCAATTTTGCCCTCGACACATTGTTTTATGGTGAGCATAAGAACACCGGGGCCGGAGCGGCAACCAACGGGAGGATTAAGTGGAAGGGGCATAAGGTAATTACCAGTGACACGGAGGCGGCAGGGTTTACGGCAGGTCGGTTTATTGCAGGTGGGTCCTGGTTGGCGTCCACTACTTTCCCCTTTAGTCTCGGGTTGTGATTTGGTTTTGATTATTGATGAAATAATTACTAATCGAGACAAATAATTAAGCTTAAGGAGAAGAAATAAGATAGTTGGATGTGTATTCAATTTGAATTTTTCAGAGGTTGGTTCTAGCTCATGCATCCATGTATCGGTGGGCGACAGGTTGTTTGATCTCCATGTAATATATGGCAGTACTACCGGCTGTTTTTACGTGTTTGATTTGAGTGTCAATGGCTCCGTTCCAGCGGAATATGATACAAGCACTAATTGGGAAAATTTACAATATGAGAAATTAAGATTTATACCCTGTAATTCTATATAGTTGTCTCTCATGACTCATGAGTCATGATAATGAAAGGTGGTGACTGCATGTTAGCGTAACTTTGTTGGCGTATGCATGCATTTCTATGAGCGAAGTTTGGTCCCATCGAACTCAACTTATGCCTACAATCAAGGATTGAAATATCATACCGGATTACCGGAGATTATATCGGAAAAGTCAGCGTTACGATATTTTATGCTAAAACCGTGGTTTAATCATGGTTCAACCGTTTCATATCGCTTACCGGTTTAGCCTCCAACAAAAGATTTTTCTTATTAAACCATCGATACGGTACAATATTTCAATCCTTGCTACAAACACAAACATCAATGTTGTCCTCTACCGGGAAGTTCTCCGACGATCAAATTAGAGATGAGATCAAGGACCAGCCCATTCTGGATTTGTTGGCACAACCTTTACATCATGTGACTTGGGCCTTCTTCATTATGGTCCCAATAATTGTTCTCGACTTAAATGTTTAACTGAAAGTTGAAGCATCTAAGGTCAACTAGTATCCTTTTCTCTCGCCACACTGATTCCTTGAGTTTGAAATTTGAATTTCAAAATTAAAATCCCAAATTTGATACGCTTTTATAGATCACATCATTTCAAGAAATAAGTCAAATTTTTTTGATTTTGGTTGATTAACTACGACCGGATGATGTAACTGAAACATCTGGTTAATAAAGCTTAACGCAGGTTACCATAAAAAAAATAATAAGTCAAAATTTCTTCAACCTATATCCATTTGGGACCTTGGGAATGACCGAATGAGAAATTATAGTAGAATTTGCATGTTTAACCATTATGCTGGAATGAAAGAAATTCAGTACCACATTTTCAACTTCCTTACCCACTACACCGACCAACTTGCTTTACAAAACTCTAGAATATGAACTTTTATAATTTCATCCCCAATTACATATAAGGACAAAATCGCCAAATCATCTATGTACAACTTATTCACACACAATTGCTCAAAAGAGTGGATTGAATTCTCCTCTACTTCCATATCAATCTTTGCCAGCAGATTAGTATAGAATTGCACAACCATATATCCTTTTTTTTATTAATTGGAGGCATAGAGCCAAGAAGTACAGCATAGAAGGCAAAATCACCGCCTCAAACAAAAGCAAGGCTCATCAGTCGAGGGGAGGCAGCTGAAGGCCAATCACAAATAAGAAACAGAAACAGCGAAAGGCCAGGATCACCAAAAACATACAAGATCTCAATGGAGCAAATCAAGCACTATATCTTTGGCACTGCACTTGCCTCGGAAAAATGACCCCCAAAATGTCTTCCCTGAGTATTACGTCCAAACTTGCTTGAGACTCTTCTAGTTCATGCGTACCGAAGGGATAGATGAGACTGTACTTTGAGAGCCAGTTTGCAACTCTATTCCCTTCTCTGTAAGTATAAACCACCTGAACCACCCAGCTTGGAGCTATCATCTGTTGAATGAGCCCAATAATCGTAGCATACGGATGAATCTGAGTTTCCACCGGCCAGCATGCGGGGCATTCCAACGAATAAGAGCTTCCATTCTAGGAGGCGGAGATAAGGCGAGATTTGCTTTGCTAGTTGTGTCTCAAACTTTAGCCCATTCCTTGGCTTTAACTGTAACATAGTTGTGGAAAGAAGAAACCGAGATCTTGGTTCTTTGAAGACGTTGTCATTTCGACATTTCCATATATACCTACCACATCAGAAGACTGAAGAAGCTTCCCTAATTCCCCGGTCAACTGCATTGGGAATCATTCCTGAGATTGTCATTTAGCCATCTTTCAAGACTTAAACTAAAGAAACCTGCCTACTGATTAGCTGGGACGACTCTAGACCACACCTCCTTGCCCGTAACACAATCTCTTAGACAATGAAGATTGGTTTCTGGTACCCCTGTGAAGTTTCTGGATGGCATTGGTCGTGAGCTTTTCCTTCGTCGCCATGCATGTGAATACCCGAACTTGCTCGATCGGGCACCTGCAATTTCCAAATCTTCTTCCACATCGAAGATTTCTCTGATTCAAGTTGTGGCATGCTTTGATAAGCTGAGCTGAGCGGCAACAAACCGGTTGAAGTTAAGTTCTAAAAGGGTCTGTCATCTTCTGTTGTGAACGGGTAGATGAACACCGCTTGTATCCGACTAACGATATTCTGTGGCACCAGAGTCTCGAACTCTTCCGGCTTCCCACATTGGTCATCTTCACAATAGTCATCGACCCGCCTTGTCCTTATCTCCTCGGAAATATCTGAAGTGGCCAACTCAATGAGGGGTACCTGAGACACCCACGAATCAACCCAGAATTTAGCTTTCCTTCCATTTGTGAAACTAAAGGCATAACCATTTTTAAGCACATTAGTTGTAGAAGTAAAAGCTTCGCCAAGCAAAGGAACATCCCTTAGCTTTGGAGAGAGTGGAACATCTCTTAGCTTCGCCAAGTAATGAAGGCATAACCATTTTATCACGGAAAAATAGCTTATGATTTTAGGTCTTCACTAAGTTGTGGAAGAATGTAGTATTTGACTCCCCCTCGGCTATCCATTGCACTCTTAATTGTTTACTTAGAATACGTACCTTTGCTCATCCATTTTGTACATAATTATAGAATTAATTTCTCAATTCCACCTAGTAGTATATCAATAATAGCAATAACTTAATCCGGTAAAGAAAATACAATTAATTCAATAATTTGGTTTATAAGTAGTTAAGTACCTAAGTGCCTTGAAAAGAAATTTGCTGGTCTCGTCTTGTTCCAGCAGCATGATTGACTCGTCCCGGATATCACAATAAAAATTCCGATTAAAACCAAGTAAAAATCTTAATTGGGTGCAATATAGGGCAAATATATTTTAAAATCCAAACCCGGGCCGGTCCATGAACCCCTACTTCGATTGTTTGAAACATTATCTAGAAAATGATTTTTTGTTAAAACTATGGTTTAAAGTTAAACCGATTGGAAAAGAAAATGATTTGAACACAAATTGAGAAGGCTTGCCCTAATTCAACCCGAGTAGGTGAGACAATTTGGCCAAGGAATTCCAGCTTTCACAAGCGTCTTAGCAAGAAGGGGGTTTGCGTATTCGATACAGATTGGACAAGGTCCACCCTTATGTTGCTCTTCTTAACTCGATTAGGCGCTTACTAGCACAGGATTGGCTGGTCAACATAGTCCATACGTACCGAGAAGAAAATAGAGTCGCAGACTTGCTCTCAAAGCACAGTCTTGTCTATCCCTATGGTATGTATGAGATGGTTGAACTGCCATCTCAGCTAGTTGAGATTCTCAAGGATGATGAACGAGGAACTACCTTCCCTCGGAGCATCATTGACCAACTTCCCTCCCTTGTTCCTTTGTAATTCACCCCCAACCCCCTGTTTCTGCTTTCTCAGCTATATGCCTCCTTTTCAATAAAAAAAAGTGAAATTGCATTTGTCTGAAATTAGCTTTATAGCTAATAAATAGTAACTCGATGGGTAGACCCATACAAAACGCAGCCCGACCCACTTACTAATCGATCCCATAAATTGATTAACTCGTAACTAGATTGATATGTAACACGATGAGCGCATAAGTCGAATGACTCGTAAGTAACACATAATCCAATTAACCCACAACCCAATAACCTGTAACCCGAATGATCTATAATCTGATGAACCCATAACCAGACTAACAAGTAACAAGTAACTCTATTGAACCGCGGGAGATCTATATAGCCAAATTTTTGAAGGTGTATGTACTTCTGTCCAATTTTTTGACGGTGTGAGTTAACGTGCTGACTGGACTAACAAATCGTCCGATCTTGCGATTTTTGTCTTGTACGTATTTCCACGTGAATTTAATTAAAAAATAAAATAACATTAAACTATGAGGTGTAAAATATTGATAATAATAATTAATTTTTTATTTTTTTCTCTCTCTCCATCTCTCTTCCTTCCCCTTCCCTTCCCCAACAAAATCTCCCGTTCCCCAAATCATCTTCTTCCTTCGCCTTCCAATCCCCAGACCAAGTCTCCAAATCTCCAGTGATCAAAGAAAACCCATCAGATCACCCTTCTCGTTCCCCAAATCATCATCTTCTTCCTTCCCCTTCAAATCAAAACTCGTTAGATCACCATCACCTTCGCATTGTCTTCTAGAACCAGGTCTCCAACCATTCAACTCCGCCGAATCGATCTTATCCCGCTACGCTGCTCGCCATCGTCTCCCACTACTGGCCTCCATCCATTCGGCCGTCTGACATTGCACACAGATCTTTTCCTACCGTTGCAGTATCATCGTCATCGCTGTCTCGGGCCCCATCAATCTGTCTCGGGCTGCATCTTCAAGGGAGGAGAAAAGAAGGAGAAGAAGGGATGGATCTGGCCGTCATGTTCCATCACACGATCTCTCCCATTAGAAGCGCCGATTTGAGCTAAAAGAGAACCGTCGATTCTGGGTTTTGGTCAAGAACAAGATGAAGCAAAGAGGATAGCGTCGGTGGTGAAGAGAACGATTCCTGAATTGGAGGTTTTCGGCTGCTAAACCCACTGATCAATGATTGCCGAGACAGAGATCTATTGATTTGGGAACACCTCCCCTGAGTTTCAGCCGTGAGATAGAAGAGCAGATCTAATGATTTGGAGGCCTGGGTAGCAGATCGAGAATGCTAGGGTTATGGGGGAAATCTCTGCTTTTGGATAGCGGATGTTGGATGATTGCTTTTCTTTCCGCTAGGTTGATGCGGGGAGATGACGACAGGAGGAGCTGCGACATGTGATTGTTTTTCGGCGTAGGAGTGCCGCTCGCCATCGTCGTCGAGTTCGCCATCTCTGTCTCTGGTGACAACAAAACAGAGGGATAAGTGAGCGTTGCCATTGCTTCTTGGTGACACCCGACCAATTGCAGAAGAAGCCGACAATGGTGGGAGAGGAGAGATGATGAGAAAATAATTTATGATTATTTATTTTTAAATTGAAATATGACATGGCATCCATGTGGCAAGTGTTGTTGAGTTGTCGATGATTAGGGATGGCAACGGGTCACAATGGGGCGGGTAGTGGTAGATCCGCGCCCTGCCCTGCAATTGTGTAATTTTTCCCGCTCGACCCCGCGATTCACAATGGGTTAAAAAACTTTAACTTATGCCCCGCCCTGTATGGGTCGTGTAAAGCCGCCTTGTCATTTTCTTGTTAAAAAAAATTACTTGCTAAAACTTAAAATTATGGAATATATATAATAAAATTTAAATTGCAAGATGCATTGGCCACCAAATTCTCGCAGTATTCCCAACTACAATCGTAGAAATTAAAATGACAAAAAAAAGCAAATTCTCCAGATAAACTTATAAAAACCCTCAATGCTCCCATATCAAAAGTCAAGTGTTGGAGCAATAACATAAATCAAAATCTTCCCAATCTAACCCATAGTTCATTGAAAAAAAAAAAAGTTCTTCTTCTCCATCCAAAAGCAGCGATTACTAATTCAACATGCCAAAAGCAAGTTCTCCTTTTCCAACCAAGAGAAACATAATAAAAATTGGAGTTGCACAATGCAAAAGTAAAAGAAAAACAATAACCTTGACTTAGGAATGACCATACATAAGCTAGCTTTGACTTTTATTAGCACCCTGTCATTGTTGTTGCAAATTAACATCAATCTCATTCTGCATTGTGGATGATGTGTCTGGTGAGTTGGCAGTCAGGTAAGCGTTCTGTTAATTTGACTAACCGTGTTACTGATGGTGTTAAAGTATGTAACGGAAATGACTTGTCATGAAACTTTCAAAATTCTGGCTATTTTCGGTATTTCACTAAAAATAACTATTATTATCACAAACGTGAAAGTTTTGACTACACAAATGAATTTTTCCAAAAAAAAAAATATCAATAATATCTCGCCAAATAGGAAAACAACTGCAATACTAAAACAATTCAGTCACGTGTGCAATGTTTGGTTCCAAAAAAACAAACGATTGTGCCCCGCTGCACAACCTCGTTCAGTACTATGCTGGCCAGCACATCGAATCGGATTATACAAATATCTGGCGCCTCTCCTATCCTTTTCTCCATTTTCCAACTCTCCCTTCCCTTCTCCAAACACTTTATCCCTAACTTTACATTCCTATTTCTTCATTTATTCCCTCACCCACTCCCTCACTATTCACATCCTAACAGTACACAATGGCTGCAGCTTCACTATCTTACACCTTCCTTCTCGCCCCTCTCTTCCTCACCCTTATCACCTCCACCGCCGCCGTGACCGCGCGGGCCGCCGCCAGGCCGTCGTCGCCTCATCTTGTAGCAACGCACGGCACCCGGGCCTTTGCTACTCCTCCCTAGCCGCCGCCCCCGTGGCCGCCCAGAAGGACGTCATCAACGCCTCCCTCAACGTCACCTGCGCCGCCGTCCAGCGCAACATGGTCGTCATCAGGAAGCTCATCGCTACAAGGAAAGATATCCCCCCACGCGCCAGGTCAGTGACATCAGCCATGCATATATGTTCCATCGCATACCATGTATAGCTTCTCATCATTAAGATTTAAGACTACAACTTAAACAGTCAAATCACTGTTTTTCTGACTCTGAACTATGAGGTCTGTTTTCGATGGTCTTTTTGTCATTTTGTATCGAAATTTTGTTATACGTGTGAACTAGCTATACTCCCATGGAACTATGAACTGACAATCTATTTGATAGTAGTACTATTCTCATAGGAAAATGGTACCCATAGATGATAAAATTTGGGGTAAATGCCATGTTTGGTCACTGAGATTACTGAATCATGTCATGTTTAGTCACTAGAAAAATTTAATATCAATTTTGGTCATTCGAATTACTGGAACAGTTCACATTTAGTCACTCTCCCGTTAGTTTCTGGACGGAAACTCACGGGAGAATGACTAAATGTGACATGTTTCAGTAATTCGAGTGACTTAATGTGACATGTTTCAGTAATTCGAGTGACTGGAGTTGGATGGAGGCTAACGGGAGAGTGACTAAATTTGAACTGTTTTGGTAATTCGAGTGACCAAAATTGATATTAAATTTTTCTAGTGACTAAACATGACACGATTTAGTAATTTTAGTGACCAAATGCGGCATTTATCCATAAAATTTGTATTAAAAGAAGTTACAAAATGACGTGTATATGGAAATAACAAGAAAATGTAAATATTATAGTAATGTAGATATTGGAAGACAGGGGAGAAACTGAAGTTTTTGGAAGTTCTCTTCTATAAATAAATTATAGTTAGTCATTTCGGGGACATTCGATATAAAAAAATGGTTCAATACTATTTTATAAAAATCTGCAAAAATGTAAATGGAAAATTTACAACATTATTTAAAATATTTAAATTTAATATATATTATTTAAAATAAAGAATGATAATGGTTTAAATAAAAAGATTGAAATAAGAATTTTTTACTTGAGAGATTGAATCAAGTTTTCCTCCAAATATGGTCCACTTATATGTATAACCTTTAGGCTTTATTATGATTTTTGAAAATGTTATGTTTAACTTGGAAGGAGAAGAGATAAGAAGTTGTAAGAAAAAAGTGGTGGTTAGGGTTCGACTATTCGAGAGCGGAAGAGAATAAAATTTTGTTTTCTTTCTGTTCGTAGGTTCATAGAGGGAGTGGATTCGTTTTTTTATCAGTGGAATTGTCACTAATCAACCGCTAAATTAATCACTAACCGAATCGACGGTTAACCACTAAATCTTGGTGGACCAACTAATGATAATGATATATTAGTCAACAGGTAACCACTAACCACATTATCAATTAACAATTAATCGCTAACCAACCCGACTATCACCCTTATCCAAAAGAGTCCATTAATGCTAACGGCATTGGCGGATCTAGGGGGTGGCCAACCCAGGCCCAGGCCCAGCCCTACTCTGAATTCAAAGTTAGTATAGTCCTTATAAATATTTCAATTTTAGACATTCGGTTCAATGTTATTTTATAATAAGATTGTGTATAACTAGAAAAATAATTTGTATGAACATATTCAAATAACTACTCTAAATTTAGCTTATAAATTCTAACCCCAAAGATTGTCGTCTAAACAAAAATAACGGAACCTAAAATTTTAAAAGTCTAAAGCGTAAAAGACTAATAAAAGAAATATGAGATTTATTCCATTGACAATTTAATAGAGCAGCTGTTGGATATAGGGATGGACACATAATGGAAATTGATTAGTCGATTGATTTTAGTGTTGACGCTGTCCGTTTCCACAGCTACTACGGCGAGAACCTTATCAACAATGAAACATGTGAAAACTGATTAGTGCAATAAAATGAGCGATGAATTACTCGCCGGTTGCTCAAGTATTTTATTTGAAACAGAGCATACTATTGGTATGGATGTAGACTCCATTATTGATGCATTCGCTATATTAAAACACCATCGTGAACAATTGACATTGTAAAAAAATATAAAATCATTATCCTTTTTACGATATCTAATTTCTAATGAAATGCGGCCCAGTGCGCTATTGTGTTCTGGATCCGCCGCTGGCTAACGGCGTCTGGAAACGGGTCTGGTTCGGGTCGAGAAGATGTGCGCGAACGCGCTCGGGATGGTGGTCAACATGACGGACGTGGACATTGCTGCTAACGCCGTCAGCAGGGTGGAAGATGAAAAGAAGAGTACTCTTACTAATGGGGTGTGGCCGGAGTGGATGAAGGCTGGGGACAGGAGGCTGCTGCAGGCTTCGACGGTGACGGCCGACGTGGTGGTGGCGGCGGACGGGAGCGGGAAGTATAGGAAGGTGTCGGAGGAGGTGGCGGCGGTGCCGAAGAAGAGTGGTAAGAGGTATGTGATAAGGATAAATGCCGGGGTGTATAGGGAGACGTTTGAGGTTCCCAAGAACAAGACGAATATTATGTTCGTGGGAGATGGGAGGACGACGACGATTATTACCGGGAGGAAGAATGTCGTTGACGGGTCAACTACGTTCAACTCTGCCACCGTTGGTAAGTGTAATTATGGAGTATTTTTTTCCCCTTGATTACATTATTATATCCTTGTCATTATCATATGATTTGGGTTCCGGTACAAAACCTGGACGTGTAAAATCTTGCATAAACTCGTGATCATATTATCGTATCACGATATAACGGTACGTTGATACGACACGATGTATCATCGTATCACGATATCGCGATATGATCGGGTTGTGTAGTGTTTTGCCGGTCGAGATTTTATATCATATCCGTTCACTTATTATATTGTTAATTAATATGGATTTCACATTCAAGAATCAAGACCCCTGTTTAATTGATTAAATATACATGTGCTTTGACATACGTTAGAGAAAAATTATATAAGGTAGTATTGATTGGGCTAGTTCGATCATGTTGTAGCTTTTGCAAATACGAGTTTTCGCAAAATCTTTGGATAAATTGTAAGTTTGGGTACTGTAATTACTATAAAGTTTCACGTCTGCCATTAAAAATATTTTATGGGAGCCAAGATGACGGGCTAGGATTTTTTTTTTGTATTTTGTAATTTTTTTTGGTATTGGTTTTTAAATGATTAATAGTAATCTGATTTGACAAGTTTTAATGACATGGATGTTTTGGGTTTGGACTTTTTGGTGTTAAAATTGGCTGATTAGGTGATTTTGTAAGGCATGTCAGCAAAATATTGATGATGTTAAAGAAGATTGACGGGCACCCAGTGACCAAATTTGAAGTGTTGAACAAAATTCAGTGAGCATGAATGGAGTAAAATATTTTTACTAGAAAACGTGAATTTTTTAGTAATCCCACTGTCCAAACTTGAAATGTAACCCTACATCATTTATAGAATTCAGTGTTTGATCAATAAATTATTAAAGAGTACATTTTAATATGAGTTAATATAAAATGACTAAAAAATTCCTAATAAAAATAAAATAGTCAACATGGATAATTTTTCATTATTTTTATTAAATATATTATTTTATTTTTCTTTTTATATAATAATAGAAAAAAATAAATTATATCATAGAAAATTTAAAAAATGTATAGATAGTGTTGTATTTTCATTTGACCAAAAAATTAGTATTTTGAAAATAATTTTTTGAAGAAGTTTCAAATAAGAATTTCAATTTTTAAGTTAAAAGAAGGGTTAATATTTTTGTATGGCCTGAACATTGACCAAAATAACATTCTGACCAATCTTTTCTATTTATAACATCCTCACCCGAACTATA